CCCCAAAACCCCAAAACCCCAAAACCCCGTTAGACTTCAATATTCGATGGAAACTATATTATCAATTATCATAGTTATTTAAATAAATTTGCCGCGCAAGTATTTTTATAAATCATAAACTTTTCACCATAATGACTTCTTTGGAACAATAACCTGAAAATCTCTTAGAAATTGATGAAAATCAAGCAGAAGAGCTGATAAAGTAGTAGAAAATTTAGGAACGCATGAATTCAGAGTTTGAAAAAGAATTGAAACGCATTTACAAAGAAATTGACGATCTTTCAAGTTTGCTGTGGAGTCATAAGGATCAGACTTAGCTTATTCAACGAAGAGACAATAAATAAAAGACTAGATCAAACATTACGACTGATGTCAAGGAGGAGAATCAAAAGTGGGAGAAGGACACAAATGCCTAGTTTGGCTATGGAGAAATCACTAGAGGAGCATTGACTAATTTGATTAGTGTGCTTCAGAGATCTGAAAGCATGCTCAGAATCAAATTAACTCCAGAGTAGATTTAGAAACTACCATTTCCGTTAGAGTCATATAATTTGACAGAAAAGTCTACATTTCTAGATATTGGCAGCGGCTTTGGAAAGCCAGTATTTCATGCGAGTATGTAGGTTTACTGCAGAAGCAAAGGTATTGAGGTAGTCCCAGCAAGAGTTGCATTCTGCATTGATGAAAAATATCAAATTCTAGAGCATAATAAGAAAAAACAAGAAAAAAAACAGAGAGATCTTGAAAAATAAAATTCAAACAGTACCCAAAAAGAGGACAACTAACAAGAAAGTGGTAATCAGAATTAAGTGTAAGCAAAAGGAGCATCGGAAGAAATGAAAACAGATTTGAACAATGTGAACGATAACTCAAGCATGAATATGATGGCTCATTAGGAAAACTTCGAAATCAGACTAGTCGATAGCACTTATTCGTCCACTTACTAGCTTAATGAAAGAAATTAACTTCCTATAGGGGATGTTATTAGCCTAATGACTGGTTCAGTTGAGTCATTAAGAAGACTTGAAGTATCTTTACCATAATTAAGATTATATGGAATTGAGTTTGGTGATGAATTAGTATAGAAATTAAAGAGCATCAGAAGAGCTATTGATAGTAAATTAGACAATAGCGATTTTTCTGTTAACATCAACATGAATAGTAACAGTATCCTGAGCCTAAATTAGGCATAAATTTCTAGATTAAATTAAAACTAATAAGATAAGAATAAATCTTCAAAGCAATAATTAAATTCGAGTCCACTATAGAGTGCTAATACCTCAGCATCTAGCACTAATAAACTCAATCCATTTAGAAGAGGTAATAATAATGGAGATACCCTAAAAGCATACTTTAAGGATGATTGGGTTGATAAAACTGAGTTTGAAGTATGCGATGCAGCAAAGCCTATAGAAAAATATGATATTGATGGCAGCGACTATACTCACATTTACTCTTACAACAAAGTGATGAGTGATAGCGACCGTAGAGGTATTTGTAAGATACTAAATAGAACAAATTTCAAAATTATGGCTTGGTATTTTGGGCCTGAAAAAACAAAGCAAGATGGCTTGAGAAATTTCGAGCTTCTCTACAAGTCACCGATGCAATCTACAGGAAATGAAAAATTTACCTGCTATGTTTACTATAAAACTAAGTTATTTGAAGCAGGGGTAGATGACGTTAGTAGTAGTGAGGAAGATGAAGATGAAAATGAGGAATCAAAAGCAAAGAAAGATTCACTGAGTGATGAAGAGGGTGATGACAACAACCCAGAGTCTGAGAAAAGTGGAGATTCATCTTCAGATGAAATTGAGGATGGAACAGCTAAAAAGAGTTCTTAGTAAAAACCTAAGAAAAAGAGAAAAGGGAAGAAAGGAAGAGGCAGATGGGGTAAGAGGTAAGGACAGAGTATTACAAAATTAGAGAGTGAAGTAAGACCTACTAAAAAGTAAAAGAAGTAATCGAAATGATACTAAAGGTGGTAGCATTTTAAAACAAAGTCTATGCCTTTTAATTGAATTCATCTAATTATTAATTATCTTAAAAAGAGAGATAAATCACCTAAAGGGGTTTTGGGGTTTTGGGGTTTTGGGG